CCGCATTGTCTTCCATCAGGTCTAAAATTAAAGTAAGAAAGGTTTAATTTTCAGTAAATCTTTTTTTTTTTTTAAATCAACATGAGAAATGTGAAAGGAAATGATATAAAAGTGAACCCTGACGTAATAGTAGAATGAAGAGAACTGTTATACAACAATTATCTTGATGCATTTATCTTAGAGATTTACCAAAAAAAAATTCCATTATTTAAGCATTTTTCTTTAAATCCATCCAGTTTCCAAAATGCTTGTCCTATTTAGGGTCACAGGGATCGTGGGGAGCTCTGCAGCTGACAGTTTTATATGGTTGTATTTTAGGGTCTCTGTAATGCATCCATTTTCACTTACAGTAACCAAACTACATACAGTTATAGACCTCATCGGACCGAACAACTTTCGTGCTCTAAGTCAGTGGTTCCCAAACCTGTCCTGGCGACCCACCAACACTGCACGTTTTCTTTGTCTCCCTAATCAAACACACCTGATTCAACTCATCAGCTCATGAGCTGATGAGTTGAATCAGGTGTGTTTGATTAGGGAGACAACGAAAACGTGCAGTGTTGGTGGGTCGCCAGGACAGGTTTTTGCCGATTTCTTAAGCCAACGATTCGATTATTTTCGATACTTCAGAATTTCCCGCGATACAATTCGATACGATTCAATACTAGATATTTTTACATGATATCTATTAAATTTCAAATAAATAAAATAAAAGTACCCAGGACAGGTTTGGGAACCACTGCTCTAAGTCATACGCCAGCCCAAAAAGAAGTTGGCTATTATGGGTTGTTCTGGAATTTGATATACTCCTAAGGGATTTATCCGATCACCACCAAACTCGGTGTGCATGAAGCAAAGACTTTGAAAATGCTGAATTGTGAGGGGATTTTTGATCTCTCAAAGGGTTTGGCCGTGGCGAGGCAATGAACTTATGGCGAAAAAGGGAAAACTGGAAGTGTGTTATAACTTCTGAATACATTGACTGATTTTGAATGACAAAATACAGGCAAGAACCAGTTTATTTGTAGTGCACACTGGCAACATAGTTTTATATAATTAGCTTAACAATAAGGTTGATAAAATATATATACATTTTAAACTTAAAGCTGCTGTAGGTTAGCCTGGCTAACGCTGGGAACCACATGTTCATTTTCTCGTATTTGAGGCATGGTTTACGAATGCCCAGAGCTGTTTATTGGGTGCTAAGAAAGTCTATCAAATGCGCCTGTACGTAGCTCATAGCCAATCGTTTCAATTATACCAGATGACGTATGCAGAGCGACAGAAATTAGACGAGGAAGAAGACGATGGCCGATGGGTCAGAGATTTATGTGTACACGATGGAGTGTATCTAACGGCCGTTTCACACCGCATGCGTGAGCGGCGTGTATTTTTTTCGGCATGCATGTTAATCAATGAGTGCATTCACACCGGGAGCAGGAGGAGCGCGTGAGCGTCGGTGAAGCGGGGGTTTCGGCGTCAAATCTGTTTTTGCTGCTCTGCTCATGCTTAATTAAAGTGAAAGCACACTTTTGATGGACAAAAATAAAACGGACAAAAACGTTCGCCGGTTCCCGCCTCCTTCCCATAACAACTGAACCCCGTTACAAATGTACTAGCAAACCTTATCTAGCATTAGGCCTACATATCGCTAGAATAATTACTTGCATACTGTTACGTTAGTTACCGTTATATTATCTTACTAGCTATTTATAACTTATAGAAAGGGTGCAACGTTATAAAGTTGCATTACATGTATTGCAAAATACGTAATGATTTGAGGACCAAGTTTGTAGTCAAAGTATGGGCAGGCCTTAGTCAATGTAAAGCATATTGCTGGTGTTTCGTCCCTATAGTGAATGTGCCGTAACTGTTTATCTGCCGTCATCGGTGGCCCTGCTTACTAGCCTGCGCGTTCACGGCAGGCTCCGCTGTGGAGGACGAGCTGTGGAGGGAGGGCTGTAGCGCAGCAGAGAGCAAGGGGGTGGGACCTGTAAGTTGTGCTTGTTCAAATTTTCAGGCTAAGTCAACGTTTTTCCAAAACTCCCTACTGCAGCTTTAAGATGAATACTTATGGAATTACAAAATTGAGCTGCAAATATTCAAAGGATGTCAAACTCAAAGGATTCTTTTAAATGTGCCCGCTTTAAATGCACATTGCCCGCCGTGCACAGGTTACCTTAAGCTTTGACCGATACTTAAAAAAAAAAGAGAGCTTTGGGTGGCGGCGGCTGGGCTTTGGTTCGTCATCACTGCTTGCAGCAATATTTATGCTTTGAAAGTGTTAGAGCAACTGTAGGCCAATCTAGGACACTGCAAGTACACTAGTTATAATATTTCACAAAAACAAGTTTGTTTGATTGCTTAAAAACAAGCATATTTTGTTGAATGTAGACATTGCAAGTCCACTATTGACTCAATGATTCATGCATGTACTAATCTTTATCAGTCTCTTTTATTGCAAATTGCTGAAAGCACAAATCTTTCATTTTATTTTATTTTTTCATAATAAACCGACTGGCAGGATGCCACCATTAACAACAAATCAGCAGAGTAATAGGGGTGTAAATCGGAGCCTTGATGACGATTCGATACGATACCGATTTCTTAAGCCAACGATTCGATTATTTTCGATACTTCAGAATTTCGATACGATTCGATACGATTCAATACTAGATATTTTTACATGATATATTAAATTTCAAATAAATAAAATAAAATTAGCCTTTTATTGAGAATACAGAAACAGCATTTGAGGCAAGCAGGACAGCATCTTTTTATACTGCCGCTCCTCCGTGAGAGATGCGAGACCGGTGCGTCTCACAGGTGACGTTCATTAAAGCCTAGTTCACACTACATGATTTTAAGCCCGATTTGCAGATCGTTGAGCTCGCTGACAGGTCAGGGTGTTATCGCGTGCAAATCGCGGGGGATTAGCGGGCGATGAACCCTCACCAATCTTTTAGTATGAAAGAGCCAACAACGCATCAAAGACGCTCCCAGACGCCTCGCAGACGCGTCGCCGAGCCCAGAAAAATATCTAGCATGCTAGATATCCAGAGCTGTCGCACGACTCAAGCTCACGTGATGTTTTGAGCTACAGCCAATCAGAACAAGGCTTGCGTTCCTTCTTTGCTGGGTATTGGCGTGCGTGCTGTTCTGCGTCATTTCCGGTTCGTTTTATCACATGATTTTTCATGACAAAACGTGGTTTATAGACAAGATAGAAGCGTAGGGTGACAGAGGGTGCTTCTCAATTCTTATTTGTGCATCCTCGTTTCCTTTCCTCGCTTCCTTTCCTCGCGTCTCAGCTCCACCCCCTGCAGGATGCGAGGGAAGGCTGCAAGGAAAGAAAATGAGGACAGAGGAATCAAATGAAAGTTTTTTTTATACTTTGGAATACTTGATCACTCGAGCGTCACTTCACTGCGTCATCAGCAGCGCTCAAAGGATCTGCCCTTATGTTGTTGAAGTTTGGTTATTTAAGAAATTAGTAATAAATAATAATAAAGCAAGATACCCTGTTGAAATATGTGAGATGTGTGGTTTATTTAAACTGCAATGGTAAAGTATAAATTAAAATGATTGTGAGTCGTGACCAACGTGAAGGGGGAGGAGAATTTATACCTGCGTCACGTTTAGTCGATAAAACACTTCCGCAAAGCATACAACTGTGCATCCTCGCTCATAGCTCCTCTGGAAGCCTCCTCACTCCTCGATCCTCGCCTCCTCGCGGTGCAATTAGAGAATTGAGATGTCCTTCAAGATGGCTGAGCTCGATCGGTTTCCGGGTCATAGGATGGAGGACGGAGGATCGAGGAGACGAGGAGGGATATTGAGAAGCACCCACAGTTGTTGTCAACTCGTGTACTGCGTTATCTCCTGTTGCGGATCAATCACGTTGTGTCGTGTGGTGCAAACAGCTCAACAACTTGAACACTCCTGACTTCACAGAGAGCAAGTCATGTAGTGTGAACCGCACAGTTCAGCCCGACGTTTTAAAATCATGTAGTGTGAACTAGGCTAAACACTCACACCACCGGCCTCGCGCCGTTCTCTCACGTCGGCCGCGTCCTGCTCGCCACAGTATTCTATTCACATAATGTGTATGTTACACTATAGTAACTCCATCTGTTTTCCTGAAGACAAAATTCTTCCACACCCATGACTTGACGCCGACTGGAGTGTGTAACATTTCACTATCATTGCCAGCTCGCTCTGACGGTTCCATCGCTCTTGAAAGTCAGACTCAACAATGTGTGTGAATTTGAACTAGATAGACTGTGAAACGTAAGTAACGCGTGTGAAGCGGTGTGAAGTAGAAGAAAATAATGAGGTCAGCGCCACCCGCAGCTTAGGAATAGGTTGTACGCATATGTTTCGGAGCTGATGCTGAAAATAGACAGGCGGCAAAATAAACACATTAATCGATACTCTTGCGGACGCATCAAATCGCCGGCTGTGTAATCGATGGATCGATACGAATCGATTAATATTTACACCCCTAGTAATGAAAAAATTAGGGCTGGAATGACGCGTTGACGTAATCGATCACGTAAATTAGTCAATTTTCATGAAATGTGTCGATTCATCATGCTCTTTATATTCCCCAATGATAAAAGCTCTTGGGCATGCTGAAAATCAGCCGTTATTACAAGTATGGAAAAAAAAATACTACAAGTATTACAACATTTTATTGTATAAGGTGCTATAGAAATAAAGGTGACTTGAAAGGTAACTTGACTAATTGTTGAAAACAAAAATAGTCAAATAGTCCAAAAGAAAAAAGAAAATTTAGTTTCAGGCTCCATTTTGTATCCAGATCATGGAACGTGTCCCATATACAACTTGCTACATTAACTATGTTATTTCACAGCTCTTATGACTTTTCTAACAACAACCAAAATATGCATTCACCATTACCACTGATGAACTGATGAAGTTTTATAACCTTAATGACCTTCAGCATCATTAATGAAGAATCAAGAATAAACACCAACCTCTTTGTTCTTCAGTATCTTCATGTTTTATTCTACAGGATTCTGGATCATTCATGTTCTCACTGTTCAACTCTGTCTTCATCACTCTTAGGCTGATGAAAATATTCCAGCATTTATTGGTAATGTCCTGTCAGAGAAGCTTCACTGAAGATGAATTGATGTGTGACAGAAGCAGATCTGCAAAAATAAATGATTGAATTGATATTTTCCTTAATTTACATATCTTAAGCATTTATGTGTATGGTTGACTGTCCCATCTATCAAAATGTCAAGTCACTGAATTGTTTTTATAAATATATATATTATATAATATACACCACAATTAAAAGGATCCAAATATAAAGTTAGAATTAAAAAAATAAAGTTAGAAATAAATGACCAGATTTGCAAATGTCGTGGCAAATTCTGAGTCCTTTAGTCTTGTTCTCAATATCAAATATAGATCTCAGGAAATATTGCAGAGTCAAGGTTTCAGGTCTCAGAAGAATCAACTTTATTGAGCAATTCAACAAAGTGAGATGGTAGCCAGGCATCTGAATCTTACAATGGTCAGTACTCAGGTCTTATACATTTTTCGTATCTCCTGGTGTCAAATTAGTGCTCATTCTGTTATCTTTTCCTCTTTGCTCCTCCCCACTATTTCGCCACAATTATGTTTTCATACTGCTGATTTATTTTTTAACTGTGGCCAACCTTTAACACACATGTGTTTAAAAAAATGATTACATACATGTACTTCTAGGTACTTTTCCAGCTATGTCTTCACATGACCTTTGGACCAATATTGATTACATACATGTCCACACATGTTTTTTCTATACACAGGCATATACAAGGATTCTAGGTGTTTTTCCACCACCTGGCTTTTTCTCATGTCACCTCCCATTCTCTAACAGACATATTTTTATTCTTGAGATACATGTATAGGACAGTAGAATTCTCCAACACAAACAACAAATAACAGTCCAATTGATTTCAACTTACCAATGCTTTTGTTAGCTGTTTTTATGTGAAAATGAGGAATCAGCCACAGACTATAACAAAAAAAAAAATGCCCTTAAGAGATGTGTATCATCTAGTATATATCAAAAGTGGTGATGGTAGATTGCCTCTGTCTTTTGAGTTGACACAATCTAATAGTAAATTTATCAATAATACTCACAATAAAACATAAATAATGCATCCAAAACAAATACAAATGACATTAATCTTAAGAGTTTTTTCCATTCCCTCTCGGTTAGAGAAATTAACCGCTATAGTTACAGTTATAAGTATAACTTACGCAGGGCCGGATTAAGAGTTCAGAGGGCCCTGGGCACAATGTCTTGTAGGCCCCCCCTTAGGCCAAATGTATATTTTGTCCAAGGACATTTTAATATGGCATTAACAGTTTTACTGACTTAAAGGAACTTTGCTGTACTATGCTGGAGTAAAGTTCATAAATGGTCGTTCTTTCCCATAGGAATTTGTCAAACTTTGTTGGGTGGACCTCTGTGCCTTTAGGGGGGTTCGGGGGCATGCTCCCCCGCAAGAAAATTTTGTACATTTTAAGGTTAAATGCATCAATCTGGTGCTCTTTGAGAGATCAAAATTAAGAGCTTCAACCCATGAACTGCTCGTTGAACAAAGAAAAAGCATTGATTTGTACCAGGACAATAAAGAGGGCTCAAACATCTTTTTAGTTATGAGAGTCTCAGTCTACATTACATTATCAATGGTGTTTTAGGATGCCAAACAATTATTATAATAATGTAATAATGATTTATATAATTATTCCTATGACGTAAAATCCATATGGCCTATAAATGTACTATAAATGAATATTTCAAAAGTATATTTTAGTCTACATTACACTATAATACAGGAAAATTAAAATACTTTTGTCCTAATTTCTTCACTTGCAAGAAATAAACCCTTGAGCTTTTATTTAGGAGAAAACACCAGATAACCATGCTGATCGCTTTAGCAAAGTGCACACTTTTCTTTAAATCACTCCGTTATCTAAAATATTTTTTTCCTTCCCCTCGCTTGGGCCACAAGTGCGCATGGCGAACTTGCAATGAATACATTTTATCAGACCGGCCCTCGCGGCTTCGAAACACTACCGGCCCACCGGGGAAACTCCCGACTCTCCCGATTGCCACTCCGCCCCTGGGGCCCAGGGCCGCTTAGATGTCGTGGGCCTAATGGTTAATCCGGCCCTGAACTTACGTGCAGCAGCATAATATATGTCAATATTGAATCTATAGTTCGAGTTTCAAATAAGTAATTTACATTCATAGCAATAAAAGAACTAGATCGTTGTGCAGAAAAGGTCATACGTTACCTTAAAAATGAAGAGCACGACAGAGCTAGGCTATATTTCAATATTTCCTTTATCAAACTTACTTCACATTTATATACATTCACGTTTAACGTTACCTTTGATGATATATTTAAAGGGTCCCGCGTGGCTACTCACAGGCTCAATATGAAGTATTTGTCAGTAACTTTTGGACTATATTTTTGAATTATAACAACATAAAGCAACTAAAGCCTACAAAGCACCGCTAATTCAACGATGACGTCTTGCTTCGTCCTAGTCTTCGACTACTTCTTTTCTTCTTCTTGTTGTTTTTTATGGTGGTTGGCACACCAACTTAAATGGTGCATTCCTGCCACCTAATGGATTGGAGTGTGGAGCGCATTGTTGGAAAGCTGGGAAACAACTTACAGGGGAGATGTACCTGGCCTGGCCGTCACTAACCCTAAAATTCTATTGATCTGGTTTCTTTTAAGCAATTCAATATTTAATGGGAAAATTATTTGGGCCATTTCCTAACAGGGAGTTACAAATTATTGATTATAGATCTTAAAGTGGAAATCAGTTTACTAAATAATGTCAACTTGACTGACCGCTTCATTTCCACTTTAAAGCTTGAGTTAGACAAAATCTCCCATCACATGCATCACATTTTATGTTCTACTGTTTCTGCTTGACCACATTTGAAAGTTACCAGTCTCATGTTACAAACCTTTCCAGCTTTTTTCTAGTGGTGGAAAATCCCCTTCTGTTCTGTTTTTTGTTTTTTTTAAAACTGTATGTAATGAATAGCAAGCAAGCAACTTTATTTATATAGCACATTTTTTAAACAACAGACGTTGCCCCGAAGTGCTTTACAGAATAATAACATAAAAGTCATACAACAAAACAGACATACTTTATTCAAAAGCTAAAGAAAATAAATACGTTTTTAAATAAGACTTAAAAGTTGTAATCGATGGAGCTGACCTCACATGGAATGGGAGAATAGTGTTTGTTCAACATCTGTACCTTTCCCATGTGATTAAATGTACAGATTTTAGGTTATTTCTGTACCATTGTTACCTGTGGACTCTATACTTTTTTCCTGGTGAAATAGGATAAGGTTGTGGTTTGGGGTACATGTCTCACAATTTGGAGGGTGGCTGGAAATACGTTTATAATAACCAAGGTATAAACAACTAGTTAATATTGAGAATTGGACTCTAAACTAAAGTGTTACCAAAATCTATATATTGTCTGACTTTGGTTTACATGGTTTACATCATGGGAAGTTTACCTTTTTTTTCCCCGCATGATCACATGGACACATGAAAAAAACATTGTGCAAACGCAATGGTTTATCGTGAGTAAGAAAAAAGTTTCTTGTGCGCATGCAAAAAATCTGTATTTTTTTTTAAATTTTTGTAAAGTATAGGGCTCCATAAAAAAATTCTATTGAATTAATAGGAAATCGCCTGATTGCTATGAGAAAACTACCTAACGAGTCATTGTTTTTATATCTGAAGTCTATACATTCTTACAACGCAAATGTTCGAAACATTTGAATAATTATTTGTTTAAAGTCGGGATTTTCCTGTGCTTAATAAAAGTTATGTTCATCTTCATTACAGTTGGGAATATCAGATCAGCTGATGGACGGGAGACACCGTTTGTATTACAATGAATATGATGAATAATTAGCTCAACAATATATGCAAATGACACTTAATTCATTTGCAAACTGTTGTTAGGGCGTAACAGTTAAGGACCCAGAACCAGATATGATGAAAGAAAACAAGGAGTCATGAGGTTCAATCAAATAGAGAAAAATGTACTGAAGAATAGTTTGCAGTTTCATCAGTAGAGCAAGAGTCAAAGTCTCACAAGGAGGTCGCAGGGCAGACTCTACCTTACACAAAATCTCACATCAATTACTATACCATTTCCAAGGGCATGCATTACATCATTGCTACTTCTGATTGGCTAAGAGAACATGAACAAATCTACACATATGAATAGATATGAGGGTATATCGCCATTAGTCAAGATAATTTCTGTCCAATTCCTTGATTTAGGCCCCGTCCACACTACTGCGTTTTCGTTTAAAAACGGCCTTTTGCTACGTTTGCACCTCCCGTCCACACTAAAACGGCAAAAACGGAGACCCAAAATGGAGAAGTTTAGAAACGCTGCCGATCCGTTTTTCGTTTTGAATCTCCGGAGGGCGTTTTAGTGTAGACGGGTCAAAACGGAGGACTTTAGAAACGATGACGTAGTAGAGGCTCACGCTCGGCTCTATGATTGGGTGTCATCAGTCATGGCGTATATCTTTGCTAGCAGCTGTTGTACAAGTAAATTCTGCATTTTACAACGCTATAACTGCCTACATGCGCCGGAGTCAAGCTATTATTCGAGCGATCTATGACAATTCCCGTGTGCAGCGGTGTCGTTGACCGTACATGGAGCGTCGGTTTGGGGTTAACCCAGAGCATGGTGGGATAATTTTATCAATGAAGTTGTGTTTACACCGGCACGCGCATGCCCAGTGTTGGTGAATGGTCACGTGATCCGCGTTTTCAGTCGTTTTAATGTGGACGGAGATCAATTCTAATACGCAGCTAAAACGCTGGTGTGGACGGAGATCGTATTCGTTTTAATTATCCGTTTCTAAACTAAAACACAGTAGTGTGGATGGGGCCTTAGTCCTGTGGTGACCTCGGAGGTCGTGGAAAGGCGTCTATGGGTCGGTTGTTGCATACAAGAGTGTTCCATAACTGCTATACAGCACCTGCACAGAACATCCAACACACACAAAGCACTAGCGAATCACAGTTTCCTCAAGGTTGGAGAGGGCCTGAGCTCACTATCATCAGGACAACTACCCAAAACATACTGATAACACATTCCCTCCTCAGGAAGAAATACAGATAAGGTCCATCTTAGTCATTAGAGAACTACACATAAAAGGCATACAATTCTGTAAATCAAATCAGGTAAGTCACGTAGAGTTTGACCCATGGATCCTTAACTACTCAGTTAGATCAGATA